GGAGCAGGAGCAGGAGCAGGAAGCAGGAGCAGGAAGCAGGAGCAGAGAGCAGACTCAGAACAATCATCCCCCTCTTACTCCGGCCGTACACGCCTCAGTGATTCCACCACCCGGCGCTCCGTGCCCCGGTTGCTGGGCCGGCCCGGCCCGGCCTGGCCCCGGCGGCGAAGGGGGTGGTGGTAAATGAGGGGGATGAGTTACGACTTGCAAGAAGGTCCAGGGATACGTCTGCTGAGAATGGTGATTCAACGAAACCACATGATTTGAGGCTACAATGTTGAAAAAAAATATTGTACTCGAAATGACGTTTTTTCGCTCAGTTTGAGCCCTGTAATATTGTCTTTTCATGTTCAGATAGATCCCCCTACGTCCCATCTACCCCTCCAATGTTTAGACCACCCCTGCCGTGAAATAGAAAATGTACCATCGAGTGTCCTGGTGGAACTTTCCACCCCCTTTCTCCCGCCTACTACCCTCATTTTTCAGTGTTGGTATAGGGGTTCCCTCTCCTTGCAACCCCTTGTGTTTTTTTGCCCCCATACCATCGTGGGTAGGGGATCCTGATTCGTGGTGATCTATAGGTGGGGTCATCACCACTACCCCCTTCTCAGCGTTCATTCTCCACCGTAGTGATTGTACAAAGTTACAATTGCTCCTCCACCTACCCCTGTCGATTACTAGAGCTCGTTTTACTGCTATTGGCACCCACAGAATCCTTCATTGGACACCCTTCCCCTTCTGAATACCCCCGTATTTCTCGGAAAAGTACCCGGTTATCCCCGTCCAATATTTGCCTACCCTTTCCATAATTGCCCAAGTGGTGGCGACCACCCACCTTTGAGGTCGGCTGCCGATCACAAAACTCTTTTAAAAGTTTACATCAATTATATAATTGTACAAATTGTGTAATTTTGGTACAAGAGAACTCTCCGCTATGTACAACGATTCTATACAACAATTTAGAAAATGTGGAGCATGCAATTTATAGAATATCTATTGAAGATATAGTTTATATATATTCATCTCGAATAGGAGGGTGAACTACAGGGGTAGGTCCCATGGAGTGATCTTCAGCGAGGGGCAATTTTTCGGGAGCCGCCACTCCAAGTCTATCCAGGTAGGGGTAGGGTTCGATTGCAAACTATTTTTTATGTGGGTCAGAAAACGATTTGTACGAGAATTCATTGAATTTTATTGAGATTTTATTGTTTGTTCAGATTTGTACTGGAAGGGGAGGCCGTCTCGGGGTTCAGGGGTGGGGGGGTGGATGTGAAGGGATGTGAATGCGTGGTCGTGGGGCAGGACATAGGGGGTGATTTGTTCTGGTCTAGTGTGGGGTGGGTCAGTGAGGTAAAACGCGTTGTGGTGGGGTCATTTGATTAGGGGACGGGGGTGATGGGTGGTAGTTTTCATCAGAGTAAGGTGGGGAAAAGGGGGTGGGTGGTGATGAAAGGGGTGGGTACTGTGAGATTTTTGGGGGTGGCCCATCTTATCGGATGAGAGGAGATGAATGGCAGTCTCAGGGAATGGAGGACAGCGCTGTCGCAGAAGCTGAGCTAGGAGGAGGAGGAGGAGGAGGTCTGGAGGGATAAGGATGATTATTTGGTAGAGAAGAAAGCTTGGGATCGGAAAATTGCTGACAGAAAAGAAAGCAGGAGCAAGGGCAGCCGCTAATCCAGGGTGGGGACTTGGTGAAGTGCAGGGTAGAGGCACTGAGAATAGTTTTCAATAGACCAAAGAGTGGAAAGGAGATGGTCGGACGGACAATAAGGAGAAGCAAACGCACAGCAGGAGAACTTTGACAGCAAGGGTTTTGTGAGTAGTGACGGTGAGCAGGGAGTCAAAAACACTACGATGGTGCGATCGTGGGTGCGGGGTAGAAATGCAGGCCGGTTTGAAGTGAATATGAGGAGATTATGTTGGTTGGTGCATGGATTGTTGTAAGATAGAACGACTGTAGATGGAATGGAGAGATTAAAAAACCCGTATGAGGACTGGGTTGGAAGAGCAAGGCGACGAAACTCCGCGCTGTCAACTCATCTAGGGGATCTCGACAGGTTCAATGGACTTGTTGAAGTGGGAGGAGAAGGAAATGTGAGAGAGTTTGACGTTGGTAGAAGGCGCAAGTAGATTGAATGAGTTTGTGAATCATGTCACTTGATACTTTTCTCATTCTGAGGAAGGTTCAGGTAGGACCGAACACACCGATCTTGGGTATAGTTTGAACGTATGGTATTATGGGAGAGTTGAACTCTTGAGAGAGACAAGACTGTGCGAGATTGAGAGTGGTGCTTTGAGTCTTCTTGTCGAAGTTAGGTAGACGAGTGAGGTACCCCATTCCAAACATTTATCCTCAGCAAATTGCGAGGCCCAAGAGCTTTTTGCATGAGAATGTCGCTGGTCGTTTCCTGACATGTTGCTAGGGTGGGGTGAACCTTAACACCTTCTTGCCCATCCTTATCGAGAGAGGTTTTTGGTCGGAAAGAGGCTATTTGCATCGGAGGTGTTATTCACCAACATGGATAAGCAAATCCGCTTGCTTGTCGTCGGATGTAGTACATGATGGACTCGAACTCATTGCAAGTGCCTTGTACGTTCTTCTGTCCAGGATAACTGTTCGCCTTGTCCTTGTCCGAGGATGAAATTCGGTCAATTGATGAGAGATGAGCAAAAGTCTTGCCTTGTTGGCCCTCGGATCGAGCTGCAAGATTACTTCATCAACTACAAGGTTGTGATCGAGACATCTCTAGTTTCATCATTGCACATGCTTTTGCTGAATCTACTTTCTCTGTTGCGTCGTGTTGTTTGGGGAAAAGGGAAACTGACGCCTTGTTTCTTACAGCGTCTCAAGAAGTTGTTGAGGAACCTTGGTGCTCCGGGTTTCACAGAAATAGAGGTGAAAGAACAGGTCAGACAAGTTGGGCATTTGATTTCAAGTATTCCTAACTGTATGTAAAGGAGAGAATATTTATGACGAACTTGGAGAGTGAGATCGCCCGGGTGGAAGAGTTCTTTGCAGCGAAGGAATCACAATATTTCGACTCGTACAGTCACAAGTTGTGCCCTCGTGTGTTTGGGTCAACAAGTGGTATCCATGCTGGTGACACCGCAGACGGGTAAGTGGACTTTGATGTGTGTCTGAGCAGAGTATTTATTCGTTCCCTTCCACCTGCAGTGATGCCGCCGCGGCCGAAGATGGCCAGGAGGACAACAAAGAGCTGATCAAAGCATTGAACTGCTCGGCCGACAAGCTGCGTTACCTGGAGAGGTGTAAATGTTCACTGGCTATTCTTCGTTGCCAACTGAATCGAATGTGTCAGATTCGCGTCCTTCAACCTGATGGCTGTCGTCAAGATAGTGAAGAAGCACGACAAGCACTCATCCACTCCGATCAGCGCCAAAGTGAACTTGCCGAAAGTCGGTTGCCCCCGGATGCTGACGATGGGTCTTGACAGGTTATTTCTTCTCTGAGTGAAAGGAGATTTGTGAACTCTCTTCTCCTTCCTGTCGTTTCTCAAGGGGTCCAGGTAAACGATTCGGTCTGACGTGTTGGTTGAGATCGTTTACCGTTTCTTCAGGCTCTTTCAGCGCATGTGACTAGAAATGCTCGCCGCATTGCAGACATAACGGGTGAGAAGTTCATTCCATGCCAACATCGTGACTGGAAATTGTTTCCCAGGCGCTGCTGGTCAGCTCCGATCGAGGCTGCGCGAGTACGCAGCGGCAAGGTGCGTCATATCGTCGCTTGTGGTCGATTGGCGGTGATGCCGTTGGTATGGTAGGGATGAGACCTTGAGCTCCCACAGCCTGTTCCTACCGAATGCCACATCCTCGCCAGGTCTGCGACGCTGAGGCACATCCAGCTGTTGCTGATGCTGTGTGCAGTCGAGCAGCTCGAGAGACCCTCAAGCTCCTTCGAGGAGGGCGTGGCCGCCCTGACGGAAGCGAACCTGGCTGTGCACAACTCTGTGTTGGCTGCAAAGGTTAAAGGAGGAGGAGGAAGCAGCGAACGAGATCGATGAGCGAAGCTACAGGCGTATCCCAACTTGGACACTCACGACCTCTTGCAAGAAGTCGAGGAGGCCTCTTCTTCCGACTTTGGGGAAGACGAGAACAACGACGGAGGAGGTTAGCGACGGGGGTGCAGGCTGCGAGGCTCATGTGCAACATGGCAGATGATTCGAACGGAACCCCAGCAAGGGGAAGGAGTTCTTCGACAAGGAGTCCCAACGCTAAACCCCTGTCGGTGAAGCCGAAGATCGCCAAGGTTGCTGTGACTGCTGATGATGTGGCGACTTTTTCCTGCTGTAACGGGACCACCGCTTGATGACTCACTCGCTCGTCAGGCTGGCCGACGTCCTCCCATCTCTCGTCTCGCTGCTGTTGAGGTGGGCATGGAGTTGGGTAGGAGGTTGAGGAGCTGAGAAGAGCGCAGAAACGGATAGCATGTGTGAAGGTGGAGGCCTGGCGTAGGAGCGTTGCAAACGGCTGCAATACAGTGAAGTATGAGGGGAAGCTGGAGACAGAGCTGGGCAAACTCGAGCGAGCAAGGCAGGAGCTTCGTGCATGGTGAAGTTGCTCGTTCGGGAGGAGCTGATGGTAGTTGACGTTGTGCCGCTGCCGCAGCTCCAGGCCGTTGAACGACGTAGACGACATGGATACATGTCAGGAGGACAAAGCGAAAGGAAGCAATGATGACAAGTGATTGTTGTTTGATTATTGTAAAGATGTACAGGCTGTGATCCTTCTTGTCGCACTCGTTTGCTCTGTCACTCCTTATGATCGGACAGCTTCTCTCTATGCAGTCTCGCCGATTCTGCTGATGGTGGCGGTGGGAGGAACGTAAAGCTCCTGGTTGATCTTCGAGCCAAGGTACTGGTTCCTGCACAAGAATCAGGGAGGGGGAGGGGGCAGCATGTCAGCGTTACAGCAAGAGCTTGAGCTCCTCGTTCTGCGTCTGCAGCGATCGAGTCTCGTCTAGTAGTGTAGACCTCTGTGAAGGGATGGGAGGAGGTCGAGTCAGACGAAGAGGATGGGAGGAGGAGGGGGCGTTAACGGGAGGAGACGGGGGTAGAAAGCAGGTGGGGAGGGAGGGAGGGAGAAACCGGAGGGAGGCTGAAGAAGAGGTGGAGGATGAAGATGGATGGAAAGGAAAGGAGAGTGAATAGTGGAGGGAGGGGAGGGAGGGGAAGGGGGAGGTTTGACCTCTGTTAGGATATCGTTGTACTTGATCATAAACTTCTCGAGCGCAGTCCACACCCTGTGAGCGAGTGAGGAGCGACAGGACAAGGCAGGGGGGAGAGTAAGGGAGGCGCGGAAGGGAGAGGCAGGGGACGAAGAGGAAGGGAGGAGAAAGAAGGGAGGAGCGGGAGGAGAAGGCAGGAGAGGAGGAGGGGGAGCGGGAGGAGAAGGCAGGAGAGAGGAGGGGGGAGCGGGAGGAGAGGAGGAGGGAAGGTACCGGAAGGTCTTGGGGGACAGGATGGACGTGCACAGCTCCCATATGTTGCGGCTCGTCGACTTCCTCTCCTCTCCCTCGTCGTGCGTCGAGTGGAAGGTTGTTGTCAGGACGGTGCTCTGCGCCATCTGCGGTAGATGTGAGGAGGAAAGGGGCAGGGCAGGGCAGGGCAGGGCAGGGCAGGGCAGGGCAGGGCAGGGCAGGGCAGGGCAGGGCAGGGCAGGGCAGGGCAGGGCAGCATCTGCAGCGTCTCACCTGCTCCTTGAGGAATTGCTTGATTGCGAGACAGGCCTGGTCCTGCGAGATCAGCTCCGACTCCCCCTGTTCATCCTCCGAGTAGAAGAAGCGCTGCAGCCGCTCTACGTCCTGCTGGCTGGAGATGCCCAAGGCCTTGAGGATGCTCTCGATCTTGAGCCTCTCCCCCTCCCCTCTCGCGATCTCCTCCACCACTCCCTTGATCTTCGCCTCCACCAGGAACCCCCCTCGTCGCTCAGCAGGTTGAACATCCTCCTGACCTCCGGGCTCACGTCCGTCATCAGCGCCTGCAGGTTGTCCGCCTGCGCCGACGCGTCCTGTACCTTCCTCTTGCTCATGGCCCGCGCCTGCTGCCGCGACTCGGCAAACGCTAAGTTGACAGCGTCCTCGTCAGGAGGGTACCAGTAGAGCCCCAGCTGCTGCTCGTGGATGATCTTGTCCGCCTGCAGCACCTGCCCCAGCAGCTCCTTCACCTCCCCTTCCTTCATGCCCCAGATCTCGTCAAACTTCTTGGCGTCGGCGAGCTGGAAGTGCTGGTACTTCATCTGCAGGTCCTGGAACTGCTCGGTGATCCTCCGATACTCCTCGGTCAGGTTGATGTTCTCTTGGTTGTACTGCTTGTCTGTCTTGTTGTACTTTGACATGAGGCTACTCAGGTTGTCCTGCAGCCTTGCGAGCTTCCTCTTCTGCTGATTGATGGTGTTGGTATTCTCCACGTCCCTTTCCGACAGCACACGGAAGTTGTACTCAAGCTTCTCCGTGTTCAGCTGGTACGTCGCCCTCATCACCTCCAGCTGCTGCTCGAGCTTCTGGATCTCCGACTCTAGAGTGATCTTCTTCTCGGTGTAGGCCTCGTTGTCCTTCAGTCTGTTCCGCTGCAGCTGCTCCTGGTTGGCCTCTATCCTCCGCTGCCTCTCCTCCATGTGCGCTTGCTCCATGTTCCGCCTCTTCTCCATCAACGCCTCCATCTCCTTCTTGTTCGATTCGATCAGCTCCTTGCGCTCCTGCCGAAACACCGCCTCGATCTCCTCCGTCTCCTGCTCGTACTGCTGCTGCTGCTGCTGGAACTGCTCCGTCATCGAAGCAAGCAAGAGGTCGATGTCCTCGGACCATCGCTTCAGGCTCTTCACGTACTCCTCGTCCTTGGACTTGAGGATGCCTTGAAACTCCTTGATCAGCTCGTCCTTCTGACTGATCACCTTCATGCACGCCTCCCGCTGCGCCTCCATCTCATGCAGCAGCTCCAGCGGCACCTCCTTCTCGAACAGCGCCGCCCACTTCATCGCGATCGCAGCATTGCGCCTGGCGCTGCTCTCAGCCTCGAAGAGGAGCTTTTGCCTGCGGTCCAGGCGACGAGCCTCCTCGTTGGTCCTCCTATTGTTCTCGCTGTCATCCCCCTCCACCCGAACCTTGGTCACGGCCTCGTCCCCCTGCTCCAGCAGGGACTGCAACCTCCGCTTGCTCTCTGCCATCTGCCCCTTCCCCTTCACCACCTCCCTCCTGTCCACCTCCTTCTTCTTCTGCACTTTCGACTTGGCGTCCGACGACCCTGTCTGCTTTGCTGCAACCTTCTCCTGTATCCTCGCTCTCCTTGCCCTGATCCGCTCCTCCCGGTCCTTGGAGTCCGTGGACGGCTCGTGGCTCTCCATGGCTTCAAACAATGACTGCGCGGCAGGTAAGCAAGAATCACAAACTTCTCTCCGCATGCTTCAAGAAACACTTCCTGTCTGTGGAAGCACGTGTGCTCAACGTGTCATCAACTGAGGAAACATACGTGTTCAACGTGTCTACGACGAAGGAAACCATTCTTTTCCCTTCTGCCGCTAATCATACCTTGCAAGCAAGTCTGCAACCATATTTCCCTCCCCCAGCATCCTCTCCCGAGCTTGAAGTATGACCAACGATTACTGTTCGCTCTTTGACCGATCATCCTCCCTCCCTTAATCATCCTCCCCTTCTCTCCTTCCCTTCCTCCCTCATTCCCCCTGTAACGAATCACCTTCTTACCTCCCTCTACAAGCTACCTGGAACACTCACTCTAGGAACTTTTCTGCTGCTGCTGCTGCTGCTGCTGCTGCAGTTGCAGCAGCAGCTGATGATGATGATGATGATGATGATGATGATGATGATGATGATGATGATGATGATGATGATGATGATGATGATGATGATGATGATGATGATGATGATGATGATGATGATGATGATGATGATGATGATGATGATGATGATGATGATGATGATGATGATGATGATGATGATGATGATGATGATGATGACGACGACGACGACGATGAGGATGATGATGATGATGATGATGATACTCTCCTCTTCCTGTGTCAAGAGCTTCTTCCCTGCCATGGCCGGGCTAGGGCTGCCGTTGCCAACGCTCACAAATGGGTTGAGGCGGGCCGATCATTCTGTCTTCGTACAATTCGACCGTTTCAAAAACCGTTACAGTTACACTTGCTGAAATCGTTGCGAGGGGCCTCGTACCCGAGTCGTACATGCTCACGATGAAGGACGGTTGATAGCGATCATCGGATCCACTGTGCAGGCCAAACAAGACTCGTGCTCCAAGCGCACAGAACATCTACCTGCTTGATGTCGCATGATTGCGATCCTCGCTCAACACGGTGAACCATCTGAGCCTCGCTCAACGCGGTGATCGCCTTCTTGAACTGGGAGGAGAAGATCTCGAGCTGCTCCCTCGACCTCCTCTTCATGCCCCTTGAATCGCAGCTCACAAAGTAATCGCACAAGTCGACTCTCCTCACAGGACGGTTGATGCAGACCCTTCCCCCTCATCTTGAGCGGCGGGCGCACTTGCTTCAGGTTCAGGCAGCTCTCCTCCGGGCTCATGGCAGTCACGCAGTGGAGCTCTATCCCCCCGAGTCAGCGAGTCAGTCCTGTAGCCCGTTCCCCCTGGAGCCCCTCCTCCGAGAAGACTCTGAACCCTCAGCAGCGCTTGCAGTACTCTCGACGGAGGCAACTTGAACCAACGTTCGTCCTTCCACCCAGAGCATCCACCTCGCACGCGGGTTCGACCGCTTCCTCCATGGGCTGCTTGGGCAGGCCGCTACCTTCCACCTGTGATCGTTGTGCTACAGCTTTAGACCCATCGGCGGGAACCAGCGTCTCTCACCTGGCCAATTGTCGTCACCGAGCAGCTCTCTGGACAACCGCGCATGAGCAGTGTACTGTGGTTCTCCGCAACATCTGTGTGGATGCTGGTATCGTCACGAAGCTTCATCAGCAGGGTCTTCGACACACCCGGACCCTCGTCCCTTAGCATGGCCCCACCAACCGACACATGGGCGACGACGATGTCTCATCCCTACCAGAGCAGCGGCAGCCCCGTCGGCCTTTCTGCGCTCTCCGGCTCTGCCCAGCAGGAGATCTCGGAGGATCGCCGTTGGAGAGTTATCGACGTATGCTATCAACCGATTGATAGCATACGTGGAGGTTGGAGGTGAGGGAAGCTGGTTGCCAGTGAGCAAGTATGTTGCAAGTGAGGCATTTGAGTTTCAGCCTTGGCATCCAAAATCTGGGAGTGAAAGGAAGTCTTTTTGAGATGTACTTGTTCAAGAAGTTAGCTTCAACATGGCTGAATGTGACTTACCGTGGCTCGAGACAGACTGAGAGCTGGGATCAATGCCTGGTTGAGATTTTCTCCCCATCGCAAGGCATCGAGACGCTTCCTGAAGACAAGACGCGCTTGAGGCCCATCAGCGCATTTCAAGGAGGCTATGACGCAGAAATTATGGACCAGGCGGAGGGGAAGGTGATGTTTGTACAAGTGACGATGGCGCAGAAGCACTCTTTCAAACTCTCTTTCTTCTCGAAGGCTCTGAAAGTCTTCAATATCCCGGAAGATGGGGCATGGAAGGTGGAGGTTGGATTTCTAGTACCGCTGGAGGAGCTTGCAAGGCTTGAGATCAGCCGCATCGAAGACAGCGGGGCACTAGAGAAGAACGGGGGGAAGAGAGGAGACGAGGCGATGCAGGTTGATGTTGTGGGGGTTTCTATCATGCAGTCGGGAGATCAGAAGTGACCAACACGCCGATGTCCTCATCTCTTGTATTCATGGAGGCAGACTATTCTTTCCACAGCTGCGGCAGTTATTTGTGATGAGTAGAGTCTCGGACATGTATATCATCAATCGTTAAACTAAGATCAGCAGCTCTTCATTCACGGTCGATCGCAAGGCTCAGCTGTCAGCAAGCCTGCAAGCTCCTTTCGTGATTCATTCCATGCATGCGGTAGACGTCTCACATCTATCCTTTGACCGGCAGTAAATTGTACTTCCACAGTCTCTGAGCACGAGCACAAGCACGTTTATCGAGCCAGCGATCACTGCAACCTGCCTTAAGCCAACACGCATCCTTAGCAGCGGCTTAGATCTCTACCCAAGCATCAGCCGATACCTTGTAGGGCCAAGTTGACACAAAAGAAACCATGCTGTACATCTAGGCAAGATGTCTAGGCCAAACTTGAGACCCGAGACAGCTCAGTCTGAGACAATGTAACATGTATGACGCGCAATGGAGAGAAACTCAAGCCTATCTTTTGCCGCGCAACGCGATCTATGAAGAAGACAGGCGGAAGGGATTACCATGTATGCAAGGCGAGATACAGTCCTAACACTGCATTCGCCGCGGTTATTATCATGATCGATGCAAGGAATGCTTTCAATGACATGGCTCGTTGAGGTCCTCCTTGCTGAGTCTACTATGAGTCCAAGCTCCCTCAACTTGCTCTTGAGGTGATCCTCTTGTTTGATATCCACCGAGGAGATGCCCAGGAGAGTCATGGAGATGAAGGAGGTCTCCTCGGTGTCTCAGTGTCGGTGTATGTCTCGACATTGGGGGTCTTGGCTTCCTTCTTCTGTTCCAGGAACCATCATCGGCTTTGGACTCCTGACTCGACTCGCCTAGAGCGTCACAGGCTTCAACCAGTCTCCTCTCGCCTGCCGACATGTCGCGCGGATAGCGTCATGGGTGCAACCCCCCTGTCTGCTCTGAGCTGTCCTACAGTTAGGATAACGCATCGTGAAGCTTCTGACCCTCTCGACAAGGTCAGCGTCGTCGACGTTGCCTCCTCAGGGCTCGCCCTAGGTGCGTTGGAATGAGCTCCGACTCAGCACGTTGCATGCTCTCCCGAAGAGCACGACGCCTAAGGCCTCACCCAGGCGGTCGTGCGGCCACTTGGTAAGTTAACTTCAATTTTACTGTCACACGGCATGCTCATAACCTAAGCGAAGGTTGTCTCCTCGCTGCGAGCCTTCTTCGAGGTGATGTCCTTCATCTTGCTGATCGAGTTTCTCCTCGAAACAACCAACATGGTATCAGGATGCAACAAAACCTCTGATTCTAGAAGCAAATAATGAGTGAACCAGAAAGCATTAGCAATCATCAAATTACCCTCTTCTTCCTTCTGTGGGATCACAGATTTCCAGTGCTCGAATGTTTCCACTACACAAGCATTCTTCATTCTCTGAATCACTTTCATCGCTCTGCTTTTCATCGCTTTGGACTCCTCCGCCGCTTCCCTCCACCGCTCCAGCGAGATCACAAGAGTGGAGTTCAGCATCCTCTGTACAACCTTGATCGCCTTCGCCTTCATCGTCTTGGACTCCTCCGCCGCTTCCCTCCACCGCTCCAGCGAGATCACAAGAGTGGAGTTCAGCATCCTCTGTACAACCTTGATCGCCTTCGCCTTCATCGTCTTGGACTCCTCCGCCGCTTCCCTCCACCGCTCCAGCGAGATCACAAGAGTTGAGTTCAGCATCCTCTGTACAACCTTGATCGCCTTCGCCTTCATCGTCTTGGACTCCTCCGCCGCTTCCCTCCACCGCTCCAGCGAGATCACAAGAGTTGAGTTCAGCATCCTCTGTACAACCTTGATCGCCTTCGCCTTCATCGCCTTGGACTCCTCCGCCGCTTCCCTCCACCGCTCCAGCGAGATCACAAGAGTTGAGTTCAGCATCCTCTGTACAACCTTGATCGCCTTCGCCTTCATCGTCTTGGACTCCTCCGCCGCTTCCCTCCACCGCTCCAGCGAGATCACAAGAGTGGAGTTCAGCATCCTCTGTACAACCTTGATCGCCTTCGCCTTCATCGTCTTGGACTCCTTCGTTGCTTCTTGCCAACGCTCAATTGCTGTAAACAGCGCAGTCTGCATCAAACGAAGTAAAACACCCCTCATCATGAGCCTTTGCTTCTTGGAGTTCAAGGCACAAGATCTCCAAGTATCGAGAGCTCTAGAAAGTGATGCGTTGAGCATGCGCCAAATGACTTTCCTCCCTTTCGCCTTCACTTCTTTCGTCTTCGAAGTAACTTCAGCCCATCTTGCAAACGCTTGTATTTTCTCTTTGTTCAACCACTTACGGAGTGACTGATTCACTCTATTCCTAGCAATGCGGACTTGATGGCTATTTTTCTTCCAAGCCGAAAATGATTTTGACAGAGTTGTTGAGCACCACTTGGCTACTGTCCGCTTGATGAGTCTTAATCTATTTGATTCTGCAACTCCATTCCTGATAGATAGTAGCTCTATTTGTCTCTGCATTTCTGCCATCTGCTCCTGTAAACGCAAGTTGATGCCCTCTGTTGAGAAAATCAGGCACGAAAAACCATACTCAGTGGCGGTCATACCTGCTCTTGCCAAGGTGTCCTTCAAAGCCTCATTCTCACGCTGAATTTTTAAAACTACGATGTCCTTTTCATGCATCTGAGCTGCCAACTCAGACGATTTGATGCATTCTCTTTGGAGGCCTTGTCGCATAACTTCAAATTCGTCGTACAGAGTGACATTTGCCGATCGAATATTGGCCAAGTCAACCTGCATAGCTTGAACAGTTTTCTGCAGTTCCAACTTCTCCATCTGCGAAGCCAGAACTTTCTTTTTCATGACTTCCAATTCATGAATCGCAGCTTCTCTTTGCATTTCGTTCTCCACCAGGCGCCGAGTACATTCCTCCATGTCGTGCACAGCACGTTCCGCAAGAACCTTGTAGCGCACTGATACGGTTCCATTGTGATCTTCTAGATCATCTACAGATCTTGGGGATCCGGAGGAATTCCATGTCCTATGAAGATTAAAATGTCAGATAGAGAACTTGTCTTGCAAAACAAAATCACGTGGTCGAACGCACGCTGTTGATCAATCGTTCATGAGCGTCGACGATGGGTTTTTCCTTAATCCAGATTTCACCACTGGGTGCATAGTCACGATATCATGAACATCTTGAGACTCTTCGATATACCTTGAGTTTCCAACCTTGTCCCATCGCAGTGACATGGCCTTGCTGAAAATCTGTGAACAAGAATTTTGATTAGCAGCATGAACTTTGCTTCGTGGATCATTCAAATAGGATCGAATCATTTTTTCTACTTCCCAAGCTAGATCAATATGAAACAAGAGATTCTATTACTGTCTTGATATTCCGCCATCTTCTCCCACTAATTCGCTGTCCGAGGCTACGTCCTGACTGCATCACTTTGATTTGTTTGTCACTGCCTCTAGAAGCATGTTTCCATTCCTGCTCCTGCTCTACCTTACTCCTCTCCTCCTCTTGGTCCTCCCCTCTCTCTTTCCTCTTTGTCTTCTACTGTCTCCTCTCTCCCACCCTCCCTCTCCTCGTGCGCTTTCTTGCCATGATGAAGCCTGCCCATGGTACATTCTTGTTACCCTCTGCCTTCTATACCGCACCACCCTCTTTCCATAACCCACCCACCCTTCAGAATTCACAAATCTCATACGCTATGACCCCACCATTAGCCTTTGATCGGGGTACCCCTACCCACTCAATGAACAAGTACACAATTTTCCTCCGGACCAGCGTTCAGTCATCTTCCCCCGAACCTGGTGGCCACCCTACCCCCAGCTTAGTATGCCATTTGAAGGACCGGTATATTTCTAGCCTTGTTCCCTGTTTCAGTACCGGGTACCTGACCGTTTCGTGCAAGGCTGATTGTCTCTGGGGTAGGGGTCACTGAATAAGTTTATTTGATCGCCTGAGTAGGTGGGGGTTATCAGCTTTGTGATCAAAAGGTGGGGTACAAGATTAGACAATCAATGGGTACTCGGCGACGCATGTCAACTTGATCCATAGGTGGGGTGGTGTCCACTAAAAAAATGTTCCGGGAATCATGGGAAGGTCGTAGCACTGAGCCCGGGCCCGGGCCGGCGGGCAAGGGGGCCCGGGCCCCCGGGGGCTCCACTGGAAATGCCGATTGAACTTCAATGATACCGGCCGGCCGGATGGGCCGCGACTGACATCACAACGCCGGGCCGTGCCCTTGTAGCGGCCTCAGCCGGCACTGCGGCACTGGGCTCCACTTTTCTATCACGCTTATTTGAATTGGCGTGGAATTTATTCAAATTTGATGGGCCTATTCTCACCCTACCCACCCCTAGGTACCATCCTGGAGATAAGGACCCTACCCTTCCGTCAATTGTTCGCCGCAACACGTACTACCCCCACAACACTTCCAATATTTGAAAGTTTTCATAAAAATTTCAAATTTAATCATAAGTATAACAAAGTTTCAAATAATAATGATCAGAATCTAGAGTGGCTCACTACCCGTGCCATAACCCCACCCGTGTACTCTGCACCAAAACACCCCACCCCCTACATTCAAACTCTTTATTGGCCACTCAACATGGCTTGGGAAGTTGCTACTACTACTATATGTTGCTGATGGAAGAGAACAACTTTGCAGAGATGGAAGAGAGAAGAAGTCAGAAGACAAGCAGAGTAAACAGACAGACCAAGACAAGAAAAGTAGCTCCTAGGCAAGAGGATGGGGATGGTGAAGAGGACAGGTAGGGCTCGATCGGGGCAGCGGAGGGGCTGCATGTTCAGAGCTTGCGTGCGGTGAGAGACGAAGACTGAAAATGGGCAGAAGCAACATCGCACTGATATTTCAAGTATAGTTCGAAGCAGAATTGGAAAATGGCATCTGAGATGATGATGAAAGAAGGTGGAAATGATGGGGGTGTACGGGGGTAAATTGCAGAATTTTGGGACATTCGAAAGGAGATTTGAGGATGGACAAGTAGGGAATTTTTCGATGAAAGGTCAAATGGAAATAGTGGTTTCACATAAATTCTTTCCTTGAAAGAGGCGGATGAATCTCTACAAAGCCGAAAGAGTTGAGATACTTGTGATTCCTGTTGTGACCCATTGTTCTGACAGATGATATTTTCGCCATCTTTGGAACTTGACGTCAGCGTACCTTCTCTCTCTCGTGGCGAGGGGAGTGTTTCTTCGTAACATCAGCAACCCTACATCAGCAAAGAAGTTTAAGCTACGGTTTCGCCCTCCTGGTCGTGATGCAGAACCAAAGGAGCTTCAAGTCCATTCATGCTACCCTGTTCATGCTGCTATCCTGCCTCGCCTACTCATCAGAAGTTTGCATCGGCTCGTACAGGAATGAAGGCCTGCATGCCAGGACTGGTGATTGGGGAAGAGCGCAGAAGACCGTGGTGGCTGAGGTTGGACGAGTAGACTTAATGAGGATAAGAGGAGGGGAGGCTGTCACGGGCAGAAAGCTTCCTCCCCCCTCCACAGATGCGGAGGGTGAAGTGGTGCTTGACGAAGAGGCGAAGAAGTTTTATGAGACAACGATGATGGCGCCAACGAAGAGATTGGTTACCGCACTCCTTCTCCATTCTTCCTCGTCCTCGTCCTCTCCTCCTCTCTTCCTCCCCTCTCTTCCTCCTCCCCTCCCCCACCAACCCGCTCCCCACCTCCTCCCTCACTTCTACATGTGTTCTTATGATTCATTGGCTCGACTTCCCGTCCTTGCTACTCCTGCCCTCTCCCTCTCCACCACCTTCCCAGCTCATCGAGTCCTTCCAGGTCCAGCTGATCACGACCATGAAGAAAGAGTTCGTGGACCTCAAGACCCTCATGGATGTGCACAGGATGATGATACACAATCAAGAGAAGTGAGGACAGAGACTATGTCCCCAACCCTCGACTCCCCTCCTCCTCCCTCGACTCTCCTCCCCTCCCCTCCTCTCTCCTCCCCTCCTCCCCCCCATCCTCCCCTCCCCTCTCCTCTTCTTCCCTCTCCTCTTCTTCCCTCTCCTCTTCTTCCTTCTCCTCTTCTCCTCTGCATACTCCTCTCTTCCTTCTCCTTTCCTCCCTTCCTCACTCCTCCTCCCCTCCTATCCTTTGCAACCTCCTCTCGCACCCCCTCCCACCCCCCCTCCTCCTCTCGTTCCCCGTCTCCCCTCTTCCCTCTCCTGACATGTGCCAACTCAGGAGGAGGAGGAAGGAAAGGCTTGCTCCCGTCCGCATCCGCTATCGCTGCAGCTCTGCATGCCGCAAGGTCAGGACGGGTCTTTTTGAGGAGCCCCCAGAGGATAACAGCGTTCAAGGTGGCCGTTGTCGGATCCTGGTCCAACTGGTTAGAAAAGGTAGGCTTACCCTCTACTCCCTCCCTCCCTCCCTCCCTCCCTGCCTTCCTCCCTACCTTCCTCCCTCCCACCGATCTTCTTTTCTCCTCTCCGCTCCTTGTTCTCCGCTTGGAACGCTCGCATCCCCCTCCCTTGTCCTCCTCCCCCTTCTCTTGTATGATTTTCCTGTCCATTTCCATCCTGCTCTGTCCTCCCCCGCCCCCCATCCTCTCTCATTATTCTCATCTCTTGATTCCACTGACTCATCTATAAGCATCCATTGGAGCGCTCCAAGGACGGCAGCATGTGGGAAGGAGAGGTCTGTTCCCCCTGCCCCTCTCCCTTCCCCCCCCCCCTCCCTCCTCCCCCTTCCCTTCTCCTCCTCCTCCCCCTTGCCATTCTCCTCCCTTCTCCTCCTCTTTTCCCCCCTCTCCTGTGATTCTCTCAAGTCCACCTGCAGGTTTGGATGCCAAGTGGCAAGCACAGCTTCAAGTTCATCGAGGACGAGGTCGAATCTCTACCCATTTCTCCTCTCCCTCCCCTTCCTCTCCCTCTCCCTCTCCCTCCTGTTGTGACCAGGATGCGAGCCTCGAACTTCTTGAACTTGTTGTATGTCGCAATACTGGAAAGATAACGTCACCACATGTTAGAAAAAAGAAACACGAAGGAAGAAATAGGATCTCATCAGCAATCTATAATACCCACTGTGTTGGTTTCGATCAGCAAATCAGAGGCCAACAGGCACCCGGGAGGGAGCGTCAACCACGTCAGTGGGACACTCAACCTCTTAAACCGGGCCATCATCGAGACACATACAAAGCAAAAGCGCTACAACCAGACATTTACCGCTCAGTGGCATCCATGTCTGAGTGCAATTCGATGGATGGAAACTTGGATTCTTGGAGGATTTTGTTCAGAGAGTGACACCTTCGCTTGTCACGAACGAAAATAACAACTTGGTTGAACTCTGTACAGGAAATCGGTACAAGTGAAAGTTATGTTGATCTTGCTTACCAAGAATGTCCATGAGATCAGTCAGTTTGCGCGTCTTCTGAGACTCTTCCAGCTTGATGTAGAATTGGCTCAGGCCGTGCAAGCTGAGTTTGTCCATATCAATCAGGATTTCCTTCGGCTGCAACCCAATCCGTCTCAGAATCTTCTAAGCATCATTCGAGGAGAATCACACATCCAGACAACACATCGCTCCTACCAATCTAAACAAAGTAATGAAGAACTTCTTGAAATGAATGCAGCT